AGTAGAGTTCTTCACTTGTATTATTTTCCTGCTGAATTGATATTTCAAGTATTACAGCTTTCAGTATCATCAAGAGCAGTATAGACTAAAGCCCAGTTTCCATGCAGGAAGTTTTTTTTCTTAAACCCTAGCAAGCTAGCATTTGCCTTCTATAGTGAAACAGAGGATTTATACCCCTTACAGCTTATCCAGCTGCATCAAGTTCTTATCCACAGGAATGAATACTACTTTGCATGCATCTTCTCCCGTCCCAAGCTGCTTCACAACTTAACTATGATGCATATAAAGAAAATAAAACGTCTGGGGGGGGGGGGACGACGGACCCTGGCTGTGGGAAAGAACAGCTCTTCCAGTTTAATCTGGCTGCTCTGTGGCTGGAAAAGGAAACAAGGCTGAACATGCAGATTACTTTCTGAAACAAAACAAAGCACAGAACATGAGCATCTTTAAGCTACAGAGTTCTTCTTTTGGCTCATTTTACTAACATCTCAACTACCTTGATAATGTGCATACTAAGGTTCAGACATTTTAGCTTCCTAATTGAAGTAGACTCCTTTAGAACTATATTACTCTCCCTGTAGACAAGTCAGCTTTGAAGGAAATCCTGAAAAATTAAAGCATAGGGTTGTCAACCTGTACTAAAAGCATGATGGTCCACTTCATCTTAGAGCTCATCTACTCCCACCTGAAAAGAGACTGCTATTACTATACCCATTGTGGCATAATTTCTCTCTCTATAGTAATGTTAGTAAATTTTCCTTATGTGGTCAGGCCTCAGCTTGCTATCAGTTCTTAGGTTTTTCTTTCTAGAATCAGAAATGTTAACGTTCATCATTATAGTAGCCTCTAATGCTAATATGCAGACTCATCAAAATCAGTTGTGATAATTCACAAGAGCCTCTTATTAATAAGGATCCAATTGCAGAATTAGAAACAAAAACCAAGATGATGATAGAAAGATTTATTTTACTTGCTCGTAATGCCCACATCCTAAAAACAGATATAAAATGTTTTAGCTGCAAAGAAAAGGCAGAGCAAAAACAGATGTTTACACTTTGGAAAGCAAAGGGGAAGAAAAGAAAAAAAAACAACTCAGGCACAAAGTTACATTCATTAATTTTCAAGAGCAGCAAAAGAATGTCCTACTGAAAAAGGGCAGGGGAAAGCAAAAAAAACTTTCATATCCTTCTCCTTGCCATGAGATCATGTGGGTCATTTTTAAAGCCATTCTGAATTCTCAGAAACATTAAAAGGTGGGTTTCTTTGTAACTTTGTATGTTTATGACGTCTTAAAAGATGCATGAGACACCCTGTCAGAGGCATTTAGTCTGTTCTCCAATTGCATTTAACATACCATATTATTACACTGGCACATTCACCACTTAGTGATGACCGTTACAAACAACTCCATTTTAAGCTAAAAACCTGATTAAATTGCATTTCAAAAGCAAGCATGATCTAAGCTCTGTTTACACCTCAGAAACTATTGAAGATTTTTATTTTAAAATAGCAGCCAAGCAATTTAAAATTTTCAAGTGTTAAAACCTTTCAAGTGGCAGCCCAGAATCAATTTTAGGAGATACAACCCTTTGAAAACAAGGCTTTGTCCTTAAAGAAAAAAGAGCTAATACCACCTTATCACTACAGTCTAATCAAATAGCTCTTTCCCCTTTACTATAAATACTAAAATATTTAGTTCCCTCTAGATACAAGAAGCTGGGAAAATGTTTTTTTGTTCAAGATCGCTCACTAAAGCTAGAGAGCAAAGAGTTGTTTATTCACAATCTTCACCCCACCCTGTAAAACAGCCCCTTTGCAGTTCTCAGTAGACATACATGAGGTGGGTACCAAATCCAGTGGCTTTCATGTACATGGCATAAAAGTGAAGTTTTACAAAGCTATCAACTGAATTTCTCTAGTGCAAAGTAGATTCCCCAGCAAGCAGCTTCATTATGCACCTATATAGCCTTTTAGGCTACCCCAAAATATTTTCAATATTAAAAATGCAAGTCCTGGCAAGTTCCTGCAACTTAAAGTGGTATATTATCTTCCTTTTAGGCCCAGTTCTGCATTGCTCAAGTCAGTGGGAGCAGCCATGCATCTTTCCAGACATTTAGAAGTAGCTTAGTGCAAATATGTCACTTCTACATACAGTCTTCAGATCAATGCTCAGTAAAGAACATTCTAACAGTCAAACCTAAAGGAAGCCATCTTGTTTAGGCTTCAACACTTCAGAGGGTATCATCACATTTTTGAAGGCTGGGGGGGTGGGGAAGAGGGAGTTTAAGAAGGGCAGCTCTCCTTTGTTAAGAGGTAAAGAAGGAATATTGGTAGACTGCCACAAGCATATTGGTAGACTACCTAGGACTGTGCATAGGGAACAGCTCAGCATTTCTACTGGGGACAGGAAAGAATTGATTCAATACACTGGCAATGAGAACTTAGACAGACTTCGCTACAAGCAGCTCAGATTCCTTGAGGATTCCTCTTTGCCGTCATCAGAAGGACAACAGATCAGATTAGGAATAGGAGTGGAGAAGGAAAGGGGAGTAAAATGGTCATCTCCTCCCCCACTTCCCTTCAGTTGACTGATTAGGAATTCAGTTTTCCTACCTTAAGCCACAGCATGATCACAGAGTCTGCTATGATGACCCCATTTTAGTTCCCTGTCCACTGAGGATTTGAAAGCCAGCCAACATTCTCATTCATGTGAGAGGCTGCCTGATGCACCCATCCTAGGAAACACTCAAAGTAGCAAATACATACATAAAAGCCACCAAACACAAAGAGAGAGAGGAGGAGAGAGCGTGCTCTAAAAGTCTAAAGTGAACAGCATCAGTTTTGCAAGTACAATCATTCTTTCTTATTACATTAGTCTTCAGATTTTCAGCATTTTTTCCAACCACAAAGCTGCTGGAGTTTGTTTTCCATTCAAACCAGCCACTCAAGGGCACAAAGTGGTGTAAGAAAAATCTGGCAAAGTAACTTGCTTTTAGAATTCACCCAACATTTTAATTCTGATCAACATGCGGAAGGTGGACAATATCCTCCATTTCCTGCAATTGCTGTTTGACTCCTACCAGCATCAACTGCCCACCCAAAAACATTTTTATTAAGCCTTACCAAGGATTTCTGCTCCTCACCTTTTCCATGCCTAAACCACTGTCTGTTTATTATGCTTGTCCAGTCTCTCGGAGCAAACAACTTTTGTTGCACGTAATTGCAGAACATCACATTATTGAATCACAGATGTTTTAAGATTGTATTCTCGCAATTTTGGGGGGGGGGGGGGGGGGGCTTTTTTTTTTTTTT